ACATTAACTCCGGTTAGGCACTTTTCACAAACGAAAGAACCAGAGCCTGCACACAACAGGTAACAAGCAGACAAAACCAAGGACCAGAATCAGAAAAGCTTACTCCACTGAGATGTCAACATTCCTTTGGGGAAAGAAGGTCTGCCTTGAAGCAAGGGCTGAAAACTTCCTCAGCTATGGAGTATGTGCACCCACTTTTTTAAAGCTTCATCAGTAAAAGCTTTTTAAGGAAAATACAGCCCAGCTCTGAAGCCACAAAGCCAGATAGCACACAGAGATCAAAGCCTTCTCATGTCACTAAGATTGGTCTCTTCTCCTGAAAGCTTACATCTAGGAAGCTTTTGTACCTAAATGTGCAGTTGGCTATGCAAAGCCTTTGGTGACTTAAGTGCAGATCAAGCTAAAACATTATTATGTTTTTGTTAGCTGCTCACAGTTTACCTCTGGGTCTTTTATGTCCTGGTCTTGGCTGAATTTAATTGTTAAGAGCTGACTTAAGTCATTAAGCCAAATCACTGAGTTCAAGAGCTGTGCAAACATAGTGTCTGCTTGCTGGGACAAGGATTTTGAGTTGTTTTAGGCAGGCGGGTGTGAGATTGCCTTTTAGCCCTATCTTTCTCCCAACTCCACTCATTCAACAGTTACTTTCAAACTAAAACCAGGAGTATGAGAAACCATGGTCTCAAGCCAGAATAGAAGTGAGTTCTGACCAGAGGAGGAAGTGTGAGTCTAGGCCTGACTGTTGCATTCACTTCTACATAAGTGACTGCCTCTACAGAAGCCACAGGGGGCCCCTTTGATTGGAGTACATTCTGATTCAGGGCCTTTTCCAAGAAAAAATTTCCACCAAAATTTCCTGGAGTCTGTACTCCAAAAACATGGCTCAGCTTTTAAAAAAAAAAAAAAAAAAAGAAAAACCAAAAACCAAAAAAACCTCATAGTGCTATTAAGTTTGCACAACAGATTGCTGTTGATGTTGCTGATGTCCTTTTCGCTTCCAAAGAATTATTTTTGTTGATGTTGCTATTGGTTTTTGTATAGAGAGCCAGTGTCATTGGCTGGCTTTACTGCTGAGAGAAGCATGAGTTGTTGCACACAGAGTACCAGGGCTTAAAAAAGCTCCAACTTTAAGCCAAAGTACCTAGCACCTAGAAATTCACAATCAACTATGTGTTCCTGTAATTTAAAACCCTGTGCTCTCTGCAGTGCATTGAAGTTCAAAACAGTCTGATTTTTTTTAAGACAGCTAGCTTATTTTCAGTTACTCTAGCCACACCACATGCTTGTCTCCCAGTGTCCAACTCAGTCATCACTGCTCCATGAGACACATGACAGAGGATGATGACTGGAGCATGCAGGAGCACAGATTATTCCCCAGGACCAGATTAGTTTACTGTATGAGCTGGGCAATCCGAAATGCTTCATAGGACATTTGGAGATAAAGCGTAGCCTGCACTTGCATGAGGTTTCTTCTGGAGTTTTTACTGTTTTGAAGTAGAGGTTGAGAGGTTGAAAAGTGTTATGTAATTGTGCTAGGATTAGCTACAATTATTTGGGCTTGTATTATCAAGCATGTAAGTTCTGCTTGGGAAATGTGCTCTGTCTTGGGCCTCAATGGCTTTCAGAAGGAATAAGGTCTGTGATTTAACAGAAAATTGCCTGAAAATGTATCTTCTTTTCTGAGCATTTCCCACCTAAAACTTCACTGTTATCTTGTTTTTTAATTCCTCTGATACAGCCTCTTTCTGCTTTGTGTTATTTTGCATTCTGATACTGCCCTTTTAAAATTTCTTCTCTTTTTTTTTCTTTTCCTTTTTGTGGTCCTTTCTCAAATTTTCAAAATCCTTTGGTTTTGTTGTGGTTTGGGTTTTTTTTTAATACCTACTACTTGTACACTATCATTTTAGAGATCAGTTGACCACTGCTACAGAGAGGCTGCAGATAAGGCAGACCGTTTATTCATAGAAATCCGGTATTTTAAAAGCTGTTCACCATATCATCTGTTATGGATTGTTCCTGGAAATGCTCAAACCAGTACTTTTAAACAGCCTGTTTGAGTAATGTTGTTAATATATTTTAATTTTAAAACTGGGATATTCTTTGAAAGACAATACACAAGTCTTCATTTCAAGACTTGTGAATTGGTTTTGAATGTATGATCAGAATACTTGCATTCACCTTTGTGCAGTAGAATAGTAGATATTTAGCAAGGACTATTACCTTTTTGCTAATCTGCATTGCATAATCACAATTAAAATACAAAAGAATCTACTTCTCTGTAAATATTTTAAAATTAAAATATTACTGTTTATGTGAGCTTTCATTAAACCATTATATTTTTTTCATTCATGAGTGTATAATCACACATTTTTATATAGGGTCATTTTAAAATTTCTTTTCTCTAACAATAAGTCCACTTAGAACACAATAATGAAAATGTTTAGTCCAGTGAGCAAACACATACTTTTTCCCCTACAGAGCTTTCTGGTTGCACAAACCCCACAGAATAAATATAACCCAAATGTTGCTTTAGGTCAAGGCAACATTTTAAAGTGCAGAACTCCACTTGCCACACATGAATAATTCAAATAATTCTGCATAATGCATAGGCAATACTTACTAGCATTTCATTAATAATCAAAACCTAAAGTGACACAATAAGATCAACCTGTAACAGTAATTTAAATACATTCCTTTTATAATAAGTGCCCATATGAACATAGAACACAGTAAGCATATTGTACCAACAAGCAAGCTTTCCATAAACTACCCTTTTCTTTGTCTGAATGGTGTGATAACTTTGAACACAAAAGACACATTAAGAAACAAAGATCAATCCACAAGCTGGCAAGAGAATTAATAGGGAGTGACATTTGGAAACAGCTGTGTGTACATTTTTCCAGAAGCTTTATTTTCAGTCAGTAGCACTGTGTCAATTTATATTGACTGAAAATTATCCCTTTCTTTTCTTCCACTTACTCATCTCCCCTCAGTGTTTGGTTGCTTTGTTTTTACCTTTTTTTTTTTTTTTTCCTCTTAAGAAGAGGAAGGAGGAGAGAAGGAGGATGCTTTTATTAGTCTTCAGGTACTAAGTTCTGTGGCAATAAGGGTGGAAGGAAAACAGTCCAAGTCCTCAGCTCTGTTTCCATTAGCATTTTGGTTTGAGACAGTAGTGCTGCTCTGAAGTGAATTTCCAATCATCCTCTCTTACAGAACCTTAGTTCAGTTTGCAGGGTGGTTTTGGTATGCAAGAATTTAGTTTATTTTGAAGAAAACTACACTGGAGGCCCAGCTGCATGCCAAATACACTCTAGCCTCTAAAAGAGACACGAAGAGTCTGAACCAATCGTTTGGCCTGCTTCAAACTGCATATGCAGTGGGACATTTATCCAAGGAAACAAACTGCATATGCAGTGGAGACATATATCCAAGGAAACAGACTATATGAAGTCTTAAGTTACAATAGTGTAGATTTACAAGTCCCAGCAGTAACTCTTTCATCTGCTTATCCTCCCCTACTGGAACAAGTATTTCAGAAATCTACACATAGCCAGAAAGTCACAAGGACTGAAACTTCACAGTAGGATCCTTAGGAACTTAACCAACATTTTGCTTCAGAGAAGTTCGGCAACTATATCCTCTGTATCTCCTAAACTCTTATATTCCTGTGTGTAAGCCGTCTTGCACTGAACAAGCTTTCAGGACTATCTCAGAGAACCCGACCTCACTTTTTTTTCTGACTCTACAGCCTTCTTCCATTGAATTCTATTTCAGATGCTGCAGTTGAAAGTACCCCCTGGTTTATTTGTTGTATTAATTCCTCCACTGGCTTCCTTTCACATAAAATTAAGGTTTCTTTCCTTCACCCCTAAGGACTTCAGCAATTAGTGTAATGCTATATAGAACTTGGTCCTCACTCCTTCTGGTCTTTGGCACTGCAGGGGCCCATGGCACCATCTGCAAATGAAGTTCTTCCTCCAGGTAAGATTCTTCAAAAGTTGAGTCTCCATTTCTAAGCCTGGGTAGTGTCTGGGTACTAGACATTAGTAAAGCTATAATCAAAAGGCAGAGTTCCTACCTTGTGCCTGAACTGAACAAGAATTAAACTGCTCATGACACAGCCAACACTCAGATACAAAGCTCATTGGCAGTAGTTATCCTAGGGCTGCCAAAGCATCCCTCTGTAACTGGGCCAGCAGTATAGTGTTGAACTTGTTAAAGTTTTTCTGTATTCGCGGTTTGCAAATAAGCAACTCCTCCTCCCCCAGGAATCTTTTTAAGAAGAAATGCTGAATCCCATTCTTAACAACACTACAAAATAGTGAGAAACGGTGCAATCAGAGACAGTCAAGGCTACCACTAAAGTAAAAGCGCTGATTTAATTTATAGTTCTGGAGGTGAAGAAGTAGGGCACAAACACACATTGTACACAAAGCTGTGTAATCTTTCTCTGCACCAGAAAACATTCTTGAAGGAAAGCCAGAACTGAAAACCATGCAACTCCCTAAAAATAGTTTTAAACAGTAGCTGGGAGGATTAAAATATATGTCTCACAGATCTTTGGTTTTGGAATGTGAAATCTGGTCAATTAAAGTCATGTCAAAATTCATGAGAAAAAATGCCCCCTGAATCAGGAAAACAAGTTAAAGAGCTGACGATTTTATTTGCCAAGCATGTGTGCTACTGTGTAGGTGATTGGGACACATGAAAAACAAAGTGGTTAGGAAAACACCCTGATGGAATATGGAAATCTTAATCCCCAAATCTTGACTCCTAAAGCCTTAGGAATCATTGATCATAATGGATATGAAGGCTGCACCTCTGCAAGCACACAGAGAGCACAGTGCCCTGTGAAAATACTGAGCTAACTCTCCAGGAGCAAGCCGCGTAGCTACACCTCGGTGGTGCCTAAAAGCCAATATCCCCTGCTGGTCAGTAGGGCTAATTGGCTATGGCAAAAAAAAAAAAAAAAAAAAAACTACAAACCAAACTGAAAAGACTGTGCTGCTCTAAGTGCCCAAGCCAGCTCTTACACTTCCACTTGATGCCATACTGGCTCATGTAGATGTAACCATAATGGTACATAAGCTCTGAATATGCTTTTAATATCAGAAAGTTATCAGTGATGTTGGGTCAAGTACTCTCTCGGAAGTAGACATGAAATGAGACTTTGGTGCAGTAACCTCCCTTGTTCTGTGAACACAGGGAAGTCCTGTGCCTTTATATCCCCATACAGTGAGATAATAGTGTGAAACAAAGCTTAGTGAAATTAAAGGAGTTTGAAGCAGGCCATATAACAATATTCCACACGTATCTGTAGTAACTCAACACAATATTGTCTCTACTGACACTGAAATTAAAGCTTACACCTTTTGTCTTGCAAAAACATCATAAACAAGAAGCAATCCCCTCTCAAACCAATTTCAGGGGAAAAAAAAGAAGTCTCTGATAAAAAATAGTGAAATATGCTTTTTTTAAACAAAAAGAAGTCACATAGATTCCCAAAATCAGAAGGGCACACTTTTTACCTGGAATTGTACAAGGCTGGAATTATGGCTGCCATATTGAAAGAAACCAGAGAGCACATTAAAGCTCAGCTGTGTTGTCCAGTAACAATTTCCACCTCAAGTCAAAGATGGTAACGGCCAGAAATACCCTGTTTCTCTTGGACTTTTTAAAAATTCACTTCCCTTGCAGAAAGAAGGGGCTCCTTCTATCTGAACAGGAGCAGATGACCTTTAGAAGGTTCTGCAGGAAGCTGGATTAGATGAAGCACTCTCTTTAGTCCAGAAAAACATCATGATTTGTTTGCCATTGAGTAGCTGCTCAAGTATCTTAATGCCTGCTTCTAAATTTACACAGGTTTCATTCAGCTGTCACTCAGCTGAAATGATTGCAACAGAGTAGGTGGAAGGTCTGGCTGACCAGTTCTAGACCTAGGAACAAATTCTGTGGAAATGCATTTTCAGCTGATGGTATCACAGAACAATGCAGCCCTCCCATTCTCACAGGCCATGTCTCTACAACTAATGCCCCATTTCTTTCAGTTCTTCCACTAATTCTCTTCTGTCTGACTACAGACGACAAATTGGAGCTCTTTTAATAATAAGGACCCTTATTTTATTTTATGAATACATACTTCTCATCCAATTTTCCTTAAAAAATAAGGTCCTAAAGAAAACTGGAAAATGTTCTAAATGCCCCCAAATGCCACTGATTTTACCACACTTGGAAATAATATAATATTACAGAGATTGAATTCTTCCATTATATTCATTACCTGAAAAATCAATTTATTAGCACTGGCTTCTCTTTATTATATATTTTTTTTTAATTGAGATGCATTATAGACAATGATGGTCTCACTGCTCTTCATAATGCTTCCTACACTATTATTAAAAGGAATAGCAGGTGTCCTCTTTAATTAAGATATTTACCAAATGCCTTGTCTATGCACACATGCTGTTTTACACAGAAATTTAAATAATCTTTTCCTCTAGAACTATGACAAATTTGGTAAAGTAATTATTGAAAGGTCTAACAAAATTTTAGTGTTTGCAAGTTTTAAAACATTAAACAAAAATGAGGTGTCGTTCCTGATGGTCAGGCACTGTGTTTAATCAATCTATTTGAAATCAGATGCAGAGTGATCAGCAGAGTATTTTGGAAAAGGGAAATGGATTTATACTGAACTTGAAAAAGGAACCACTTGTCTTCCAGCCACGTACACTTCAGAAATATTCCGATCGTCACCTGAAATAACATGGTCAAAACAGAGATCTGCGCTTAAATCTATGCAATGATTTAATTAATGAAAATTATGCAATCCATAAATGAGTTTTGGAATACACCATTTGCAGTGACTGTTTCCTAGGACTGTGAAAGTTTATTTGGAGAAAAATAGTCAGGGCTACCACAAAGATCAATGAATGTTTAAACTACCCGTGCTTTTTTTAAGAAACACAGCATTCAGCTGCTAATGTGTGACATGGGCTTTCTATATATTCAGTAGATTCAGACCCTGGAAACATTATGTATCTGTACAGAATTCATGTTGTTACATCTGAACTAACTTAGGTACCAGGCAGCAGTAAAGCTGGATTGCCTCAGCTATTTTCTCGAAAAGGCAAAAGCTGAATTGGAGTATGACACAAACATGGCCAGAAATACCACCAGTTACCTCTTGGTAACAAGGTAACAGGCAGTGTAGCTCTTGTTCCATACGATGCCCTGCAAAGAGTATCTGTTCTCTTAGCAGGGTAGAATTGTTTTGGTTGGGTTTTCTGTGTTTTAAAGGCCATCTTTTTTTTTGGGAGGGAGGGGGGGAGTAAAAAAATCCACAATGGTAACTGGTCTGCAGAAGTCCTTCTGAGTTTAACTGGTTCTGAACTGGTGATTAGCATGTCATTGTTAATTTACTGTGAAATATGATTTAGCTCATGCTGTATATAAATATAGGTGTGGTAATAAATATTACAAAGTGCATCTGATCATGCTGAACTATGTCCCAAAGAAAAAAAGTTAAACCACTCAGTTCTTATTCAGTATTTCTAAACAAACATTAATAAATACAAGTAAATGTATATTTTATGCAAATAAATACCAATAGTGACATTGTTTATACACATTGTAAATAACTATATTTAATTACTGTAAACAAATGTATATTTAATTATGTATAAATAAGTTCATTAATAATGTTAACATTAATTTTGGCAATTTTTTATATAGAAAACAAGAAGACAATTTTATGTGGGCAGAGATTCAGAACATACCTAGATACAGGAACTTCTGGAGAGTGTCCTAAAAAAAAGTGTGAGAAAACAAAATTCAAAAGTGTATCTGCTATCCTATATCATAATTACTTGAAGCATGAAAGAACTGATATAAATAGTTTCCCATAATATTCCTACTAGCAGTAAACCAAAACTTAATTTCCGTGTTTCCTCATAAGCAACTTTCAGTAAAGAGGCTGTACATCTTGGGAAGAAAACACTGCACAAGTTTGACAGTATAAACAAATACATGCCTAAAACATAGTACCTCCCCTTCCTATTTCTTAAGAGTTCTCAAATTCATTCATTTATTGAAAAATAAGAAAAAAAAATATTCATTCTTAAAGTTCCAAGAATTCTTATCTAAAAATGTTTAGACTTAAACGTGAAAATATTTTTTCCAGAATTATTTGAATTAGGAAGGTTTAAAGAATTTAATCTAATCCATATTATTGTGGTTTAAACAGACTAAGAAACAGCTACCTTACCACTTATGCCCACATAGAATCATAGAAAGATTTGGGTTGGAAAGGACCTTAAGATCATCTAGTTCCAGTCCCCCTGCCATGGGCAGGGACACCTCACACTAAACCATGCCACCCAAGGCTCTGTCCAACCTGGCCTTAAACACTGCCTGGGATGGAGCATTCACAACCTCCTTGGGCAAGCCATTCCAGTGTCTCACCACCTTCACAGGAAAGAACTTCCCCCTTACATCCAATCTAAGCTTCCCTTGTTTAAGTTTTAACCCGTTACCTCTTGTCCTATCTCTACAGTCCCTAATGAAGAGTCCCTCCCCAGCATCTCTATAGGCCCCCTTCAGATACTGGAAGGCTGCTATGAGGTCTCCACGCAGCTTTCTCTTCTCCAGGCTGAACAGCCCTCACTTTCTTAGCCTATCTTCATATAGGAGGTGCTCCAGCCCCCTGATCATCCTTGTGGCCCTCCTCTGGACTTGTTCCAACAGTTCCATGTCCTTTTTTATGTTGAGGACACCATAACTGCACACAGTGCTCCAAGTGAGGTCACACAAGAGCAGAGTAGAGGGGCAGGATCACCTCCTTCGACATATCTAAGTAAACAGTGACATTCAAAATAGAGACAGCAATCGGGAGTCTGGACACATCACTAAATTCAGGTTGATCATTACCTTTTCAAATCATAAGGGATTTTGCATTAAATGTGCCTATTGCATAATGTCAATACTTCTTACATGTTTGCATAAAAACTGTGCTTTCAACTCAAATAAGCTGTCTCAAGTTCTTTCTTAAGTTTACAACAGCAGTGCGGTCAAGGTAACCTAATCTTTATCTAGTAACAGGTGGCTATTTTTGAGTTTGAAGTCAAAGCACTAACTAAAACTAAATTGCTTTTTCTTGGCTGCCTTCTGTCGCTGCAAATAGATTAATTATCAGCTTGGGCTAAATAAGTATGCATTTTAAAATGTTACATGCAATTTTAGTTATGGGGATATGGGACAGTCACTGAGGACAGCAAGGTTGTAAAAAGCCCCAAAACAAAAAAAACAAAAACAAAAAAAAACCAAAACACTGGCCTCCTTTGCTGAATACAGACAGCAGTGGTATATTACATCTGATTCCTGTTATTGGAATAACTCCCAAGAGATTTATTCTGGCTGCATCACAGACCTTCCCCACATCCTTACTGGTAATTTTTTTGATCATTAATCCTGTTCTGATTACCTCAAAATTATCAGCAGAGAACAAGTCAAAAGGGCTGTCTGAAGCTTTCGTGTTGATTAGCAGTGCATCAAATTCTTTGCCAACCTCAAAGTTGCCAATCACGTCATCTAGTCCTAGAGCTGAGGATGAAAATAGAAGAGATCTTCAACAGAAAACTCTTTCCACCATCTGGAAGCACCTGGAAATTTACTTGAGGTGTTCATAAGAAAAATGACAAGAATTTCGATTAATACAATGAAAAACAGGAAAGCAAATTCAACAGTAAGTATGCTAGCATCTGAGTTCTTAAGTAACCTGTCAGTAAAAAAAAAAAAAAAAAAAAAAGGTATTTTGGTGACTTTCTGAAGGTCATCTTTCAAGGGTAAAAGAAATCTGAAAAAGAGTTTGAACCCCTCTTTTGATTTTTGTTCTTTGAATGTACTCCATTGATTTTATGTTGTTGCAGATGTGATGTATAGACCACTATCAGTTTAAAGGGTAACAATAATTGTTTGTATTGCAAAAAAATTAAAGCTCCAACAGGGGTAATAAAATGACATCACAGAAAGATTAAAGTATATAATACTAATGACCTTTCTAAAACAGTATTAGATTTAATTATTTAAACAGCTTAAGTAGCTTTGACAGTTTGTATATACCTATTATAATAGTTGCATGTAACAACATGATAATAACAGAGGTGTGCAGAGAGAACAGTTTAAAGTAATTGTCAGGAATAAAGAACAATGTGGTGTGGAAAAAAAATCATGGCCAGACCTGAAGTTTCATACCCACCTGTAAGGCTTGTTATTTCAAAGCTTTATTACAACCTCTAGTTCTCAGGTCCATAAACACTGAAAATCTACAGTTTCATCTTCAGCAGCTAGGAACTTGCAAGTGCTTGGAATACGTAAAAAGAGGCCTCTGTGTCTCCTTGGAAATTACTTAAGATATTGGACAAAGTATATGTGTACTAACACATGTTCTCCAATACTGCTGAGTTAAACTAAGTTATCAAAGGGGATAATACCTGCAAATAATTTGTTCAGTTGTTTTCAGGTTGCTCCCCTCCAACAAAAGAACTTCAGCCTCCAGTGAAGTTTGTGTGTGGCGGGAACTTCACAGTATTTTTAAAATGGTGAAACTCCTGCAAATGGTGAAATATTTTGACTACCTACGACTTTCAACGAAAATGATCTCATAGATGTACAAAAAGTAAGGTTTGCGAGCAGACTGCAATTTTTAGATTAAACACAAGGGGGTGACAAGTGCTTAGGAGTCTCGCAAAACAAAGACCCGCAACACAAATAATCGCCCATTTAAATCTCTGCAAACCGTACCTGTCCAGGCTACTGGAAGGCTGTATGAATAGTTTTTATTCTGTCCTCGAAAGTGACTTGGGAAGTAAAAGCCAGCTCAAAATCAGTATAAAAAAATAATAAGACTACTAAGTAAACCTAAGAACCCAGATAAAACAAGAGCAAGATTAGCTGGGAAGGGAAACCATGTGTGAGCTTGGGGTTTTAAAAATATTCCTTCCCATATCTCAGCTAATTTATTCCCACCTTTCATGAGAACAGTATATACTGTGAAAAAAACCCAAACCCTCTCCTTTTTTGTCCCCTGCCCGTTTTCTGGCTTCTCTCTTTCCCCATTACACCCTCTAGAAATTCAAATGCAGCCCTGAGAAGACCTGTTTGATGATATTTTCATTACCTCCTTCAGACTTCCATTAATTGTTCATGACGGTGTTTTCCAACAACTACAGGAAGACTTAGGACCAGTTCTTTAGCAGTTAGCTCATTTCTGCTATCTGAAATGGCATTAAATTTTTACTTACGTGTGGATTTGCTCTCTGGTAAATCATACAAGTTCTGCTAAAACTTTCCTAAGCATATAAATCTGGATCTGCATATGACCATGGCAAAACATGCCAGTGAACCAAAATAATTGATATACTATATGATGTACACTATATGAGTATATTATGCAGATGTAGTTATACCTTAAAAAATATTTTTGCATATCCTGCTTAAACTTTGTGCTTTTCTCTGACTGAGGAGTGATTTGCATGATGTTTTGATTTGCTGGAAAGACAGTGATGAACTGCCTCACTGAGAGCTACAAAAACAGAAACAAAATTAGAAACTAATGACAAACAGGATTCATGATTGTACAAAGGAATCTGTGGATGAAGCACTCTATAGGCAGATAGGAAAAGCCTCAAGCTCACAGGCCCTCGTTCTCATGGGTGACTTCAACCACCCTGACATCTGTTGGAATGACGGTATGGCCAGGCACAAGCAATCCAGGAGGTTCCTCGATTATGTGGAAGACAACTTCCTTCTGCAAGTAATAGAGGAACCAACAAGAAGAGGTGCCATGCTTGACCTTGTGTTCACCAACAGGGAAGGGCTCATTGGAAATGTTGCACTGCAGGGCAGCCTTGGTTGCAGTGATCACAAGATGGTTGAGTTTGAGATCCTTAGGACAGTGAGAAGAGTGTGCAGCAAGCTCACTGCCCTAAACTTCAAAAGAGCAGACTTTGGCCTCTTCAGGAACCTGCTTAGTAAGGTTCCATGGTATATAGCCCTAGAGGGCAGGGGGGGGGCTCAAGACTCTTGGTTGGTCTTCAAGGATCACCTGCTACAAGCTCAGGAGTGTTGCATCCCAACCAGAAGGAAGTGCAGCAGGAGGGCCAGGAGACCTCCTTGGATGGATAAGGAGCTCCTGAGGAAAATTCAAATGAAAAAAGAGTTTTGTAGAAAATGGAAGCAAGGACAGGCGGCCTGAGAAGAGTACAGGGATGTTGTCCAGGAAGATAGGGACCAGGTTAGGAAATCTAAGGCCCAGGTAGAATTAAACTTGGCTAGGGATATTAAGGATAACAGGAAGGGATTCTACAGGTACATAGTAAATAAAAAACAGATTAGGGATAACGTAGGCCCCCTCAAGAAGCTCTCGGGTGAACTAGCTACACAGGATTTGGAGAAGGCTGAGGTTCTGAATGACTTCTTTGCCTCGGTCTTCTCTAGCAAAGGCTCTGACCACACCACCCAAGTCTTGGAAGGCAGACGCAGGGACTGTGAGAATGGAGACGTTGGGCCCACTGTAGGAGAGGAATTGGTTCGAGACCATCTTAAAAATCTGAACATGCACAAGTCCATGGGTCCTGATGAAATCCATCCACGGGTCCTGAAGGAGCTGCTGAATGAAGTTGCTAAGCCACTGGCCATCGTATCTGAAAAATCATGCAGTCAGCTGAAGTTCCCAACGACTGGAAAAAGGGAAATATAACCCCCATTTTCAAGAAGGGAAAAATGGATGACCTGGGGAATTACAGACCAGTCAGTCTCACCTCTGTGCCTGGCAAAATCTTGGAGCAGATTCTCCTGAAAGGCATGCTAAGGCACATGAAAATCAACAAGGTGCTTGGTGACAGGCAGCATCATTTCACTAAGGGGAAATCCTGCCTGACCAATTTGGTGGCCTTTTATGATGGGGCTGCAGAACTGATGGACAGGGGTAGAGCAGTTGATGTCATCTACCTGGATTTGTGTAAAGCATTTGACACTGTCCCACACGACATCCTTGTCTCTAAATTGGAGAGACATAAATTTGATGAATGGACTACTCGGTGGATAAAAAACTGGCTGGAGGGCCGCACACAAAGAGTTGTGGTCAATGGCTCAATGTCCAGCTGAAGACAAGTAACAAGTGGTCTCCCTCAGGGGTCGGAGCTGGGACAGATTTTGTTACAACATCTTTGTCAGTGACATGGACAGTGGGATTGAGTGCATCCTCAGCAAGTTTGCCGATGACACCAAGCAGTGTGGTTCGGTTGATACGCTGGAGGGAAGGAATGCCATCCAGAGGGACACTGACACACTTGTGAGGTGGGCTGATGCCAACATCATGAAGTTTAACCATGCCAAGTGCAAGGTCCTACACCTGGGTGGGAGGAATCCCAGACACAGGTACAGGTTGGGCAGAGAAGAGATTCAGAGCAGCCCTGGGGAGAAGGACTTGGGGGTGCTGGTCGATGAGAAAATGAACATGAGCCGGCAGTGTGCGCTCGCAGCCCAGAAAGCCAACCGTATCCTGGGCTGCATCAAAAGGAGTGTGACCAGCAGGTTGAAGGAGGTGATCCTGCCCCTTTATCCTGCTCTTGTGAGACCTCACTTGGAGTATTGTGTGTAGTTTTGGTGTCCTCAACATAAAAAGGACATGGAACTGTTGGAACAAGTCCAGAGGAGGGCCACAAGGACAATCAGGGGACTGGAGCACCTCCTGTATGAAGACTGGCTGAGAAAGTTGGGGATGTTCAGCCTGGAGAAGGTAAGGCTGCATGGTGACCTCATAGCAGCCTTCCAGTATCTGAAGGGGGCCTACAAGGATGCTGGAGAGGGACTTTTCATCAGGAGCTGTAGTGAGAGGACAAGGGGCAATGGATTTAAGCTTAAACAGGGGAAGTTTAGATTGGATATAAGGACGAAATTCTTTCCTGTTAGGGTGGTGAGGCACTGGAATGGGTTGCCCAGGGAGGTTGTGAATGCTCCATCCCTGGCAGTGTTCAAGGCCAGGCTGGACGAGGCCTTGCGTGATACGGTTTAGAGCGAGGTGTCCCTGCCCCTGGCACGGGGGTTGGAACTTGATGATCTTAAGGTCCTTTCCAACCCTAACTATTCTATGATTCTATGATTTTAATTGCACGTCTTCTCCTCTAAGAGCTGGTTGCTGAGAAAACAAATTTCCAATTGGTGTGATAAACACACTAGCAGTAATGATTAAGAAGTCTGAGGATCTTTGCAAAGAAAACGTACAGCCCTGAAAAATCATTAAGATTCTATTGTTAAAGTCTCAACATCAATTTGAGTACTCCTCCGCAGTGAGCCTAGCATGGGTATGAGAGACTGAAGGACCTCTCTCCCCAGATGCAATTTTAGATGCCATCACTCTGGCACCAGAAATTCTGTGAATTCAGCCACCTTTTAAAGAGAGGGAGACTTAACATCAAGAAGAGCTGTAGTTCTCTAAAGAAATCTTAAAGAAATTTTTTCTTACCTTGGCTTCCTCCCAGAGTGGCAAGTTGAAAAGCTTCTTCAAGAGTTAGTCCTGTTTCATTCACTTTATTGATCTGAAGGCTATTGGATGCCATCATTGTTTTCCTGATGGCATCAAGCATAGAAGCTGAATATCCACCAGCAACATCTAGAAGAGATCAGACTCTTAGAAACAAGCTTTGGGAATAATTCTCTGGGTTAAACTTACATGATCTTTAATTAAATGTTACAAACAGATGTGTTAAACACAGACAGTTTTACTGCAAAACACTGTCTCTGAATGTGTAATTTCTAATAAATCTGGTCTCACAGACATCAGGTAAATAGAACACAACACAGAACCTAGAACACAGTATCAGAAACCTGAACAGTTATTGTTCAAGACATGTTTATTCTCACAACAGAAAGAGAACTTTCTTCATTTTTTGTTTTCTTTTTAAACAATTTTAGAACCAGCTCTAGATTTCCGTACTCCAGACTTCACTACTCTAGAAGCAGTGAAAAAACAAAAGCAGGTCCATAAGCTGGAGACATGCTGTCTTTCAAATACAGACAAGGAGGCACATTTTTGCATCCCACAGTGATTTCCAGAAGTAAACTACTAACCTGTGCCAAGGCCAAGTTTCACATTGTTTTTCAGGACCTTTTGCACATTTAAGACACCACTGCGCAACCTGGATTGGAAGAAGAAATGTGTTCTGCATGAAACTTGCAGAGAAAGTTCAGGAAGAATAAGGCTGCACAGCTGTTCATGACACGGGATATCAGAACATGTGCAATAGCTTTGGTTTATTAAACTGGGCCGAATATTTGCATTCATACACCTGAAAGATGGGGTTTAAACATTTAAAACAAAGGCAGTTTTTCTCAGTTTAAATCTCCCAGTTTTATAATTATTTGCTGAAAACAAACTTTCAGTATACCCATGAAAAAGTCCAAATATGGTGTAAAATATATTCCAGGAGATGGGAAGTCATATCACGAGCTTCAGTAAGTCAACACAAACAAGATACTGATTATGTTAAAAGCAAAATTACTGTTAACATTTAGTACAGTATCCTGGCTGGATACCACACAATATCTCATTTCTGCTTAATAGAAAAAAGACTATATAGCACATTCCCATTTCCTCAAAACCTATGCATACTTTGGAAGGGAGATGGCCTGAATTTTCAATTAATAGAACAGTCAGAAGGAATGAACATTAAAGAAATAAATATTTATTTATATAGAGAGACATAGATATGTATATGACTATGTTGAAAGATCACAAGTCAGTCCAGGTCCATGCAGAAGTGGAGCATAAATGGTCATGCTCAATCCAATATGTCAGTTCGGGTGGAACAGAATAGTATATATATATATATATATATAGTACATGTACAGAATATGTAGTAGCTGTATAATAGTAGGCTGAATTCAGGGTACTATGTGAACAACAGCTTGATTTAATTGTACACATCTTTTTCTTAACTTACGAAAAATTAGAATTGGGACAATGTGAAATTGCAGCTCCACGAAGACTAAAAAGTTTCAGCTCTTCTTCAGAAAGATAACAGGCATGAGCCATCACTGTCTAAAGAAAAACAGAATCACCAATTTACTCAGTATTGCATTTATTTCAGAGCCTGTGATTTTTGCTGCATCTCCTTTAATAGCCAAAAGGACACCTGTTACCACCAAGGGGAATTAATGCACTGCTCGAATGAAGCTCTTGAGAGGGGAGAAGCTCTCATTAACTTCAGTACGCCTGACATATTCACTGTCTCAGCTTTTTTTTTCATTTATTAACCTAAGAAGATAGGGTGCTGACTCTTGCAGTGCCTGCTGTGACCTAAAAGCTTCCAGGAACAAAAGCAAGAATTCCCCAGTTGCCGTAATGCTGCAGTAATCTAACAATTTATATTTTGTAGCTAACACAGATTTTAAGTACCGGGGCTAGGAACACATCAGAGAGAATGGAAGATGTACGTACTCTTACATGTTTCCCATTGTCTCTCCAAAGGTTTGCACCAGGTATACATATACATGGAATATTAATGGAATATATATATATATACACACACACACATATATATACATATATATGGAATATTCTTTAATTAAAAGAATCTATTTTTTAATGCAACTGATTAATGACTTTTCTTTCTTGGCCTGCATAACTGACTTTAAAAGTAAGATCACAAGCAGTATACACAAAAGACAGAAGTATAGGGTAGTATCATTTAATAGGACATAAACCAATTATTTCTAGACAAATCTAACTGTAATTACCTCATATGCCAAATGCCTACTCGAAAAGCAAGAGCTCTGTTAGGCCTTGCAATCTGCCAATAACAATGAGAACAGTACAGGACCTGTTTCCACTGAGCATCCCCTAATAGCACTGTAGCTATCTCCCTACTTATCTATCTCCCTACTTATCAAGCTCAAGTGTAATTGAAGATGAGATGAGAATAGCCGCATCTTAAGGACATACATATTAGCCGCTGACCTGTATCTCTGCTGATCTGTACTCTTTTTCAAAAAGAAGGAAATATTTCACCACAGCTCTGAAAATCATACTTTCAAAACAGCAACAACAACAAAAAAATATGTTGCCTTAGTTTTGGTGGTTGGGGAGGAGGAAATGTCTGCAGTTTTGTTATTACGCTTGTGTTAATCGAATGCCTGAAAGCACTGGTAACCCTAATTTTCAGCGACTTTTCAGTGTTACGCATATAAAAGTCTGACAGAATTAAGGCTTGGTTTTGCAGAGCTAATATTCTCTTTAGGGTACTGAAGCAACAAATCAGCAAGCATAGGACTGCATGAGAGATCAAAAGTTAATGCTGTATACATATTAAAGTAGTCCATACTGAATTCTCAGATGAAAAGGACTGTAAATAAGTAACTTACTAGGGTACAATTTCAAAGAAAGAAATGAGTGTTCAATAGCTAATTGTCAAGGAGTTCCGAGCTGCCCTTTGTGCCTCGGAAAATTCTTTCCTAAAATTTTAAATCAGTTTGACTGATGTTTCGGCACTCCGACTATAGTTAAGCTGTTCATACTCACTCTTGCATGGGCTCTCCACTGTCTGATAAGCACCAGTAAGTGCTTGGCACTCCAACCTGTACTTAAGTGGGGGGTGGTTCACACACAGAACACAAAGAGCTGCTTTTCTGTAGGAAACTGCCAAAAAATTAAGCTGGTCCTACCATTACACCACAGAACAAAACTTCCAGTGTGTAAGAATATTGTAATATAATGACAACTGGGTACTGCCCAAGAATTGCAGCTCCTACAATATCAACTTTACCTAGTTTTCTTCTAACCCCACTGTCCTAATTCTTTCTGGAGTCCTTGGAAAATGGATCAGGAAGCATAAAATACCTTTATTGTTCATCTGCCCTAAAACGACTAGGAAAAGTGTGAGCTTGTCTAAAGTTCCAATAACTTCATCAACATCTGTGCAACAAAGAACATAAAAACCAATTTACTTTAACCTAGACAACAGAATCACAGAACAGTTTGGGTTGGAATGGACCTTGAAGCTCATTTAGTTCCAATCCCTCTGCCATGTCAGGGACACCTTCCAGAAGATCAGATGTCACTGACTTTGAAAAAACAATAGAAACTTTTCAGGTACCTACAGTTACCATCATATTGTCTACATAAATCTAAGCTATGCTGTGGAAGTTTTTATGCAGCTACCTTGCTGGTAAGCAGCTTGTTTTTATCATATAATTCAGTGTAATTCTGGTAGGCAGGAAACATGTTCTCCACAAGTTTGAGTTCTTCTTCATTTTCACTTATGTGACTCTGCAATAAGAAAATACACAGGAATGAGTACTTCAAATAGCATTCAACCTGTCATTACAACCTTCTGAGCAACCTACTGTGCTAAACATATAACAACAGAAAGTAGTATTTGTAAAGCCTACAGTTAGATTTAGTCCTTGGTTTTCTTGTTTTTTATGGGAGAGATCCTTGGGACCCAGAGGAGAACCTCCATTTGTTTCTTTAAAAGTGAAATGAGATGGTATGCCTTGATTGTCCGTCACAGCAGTTTGGTGACAGGATGACCCACTTTCAACATAATAAGTAAAATAATACAGATAACTATGAGGTAAAAGAGAAAAGCAGCCTATCACACAGTGCACCCTTGGATCAAGGCAACATATAGGTACCTGCTCCATGTATCTTCAGATGGGCTGATTAATTCCTGGTCTGATGAAATAAAAATCTGATCCTCCTGTACTCCCACTGGTGCATATATTTTCAAAATTCCCAGTTTGTAATGACAAAAAATCCTCATGTAGGATATGTTTAAAACTGTATATGCTTAGAACTGTGCAATCAAAAAGAAACATCTCGAAGTTTCAACAGACCTGAACACTTCTGAATTTGTCTTTATTAGACAGAAGAACTTCATAATACAGAAAATCATACAGCAATATTAACAATGTTAAACAAGATATGAAGATGAGTAATTCTTTTATCTACTGAAATGTGGTCTGCGCAGGAGCAGCAGAAGGCAGAGACAGATGTGGCAACCTTGGACTAGGGGAGAGCAACGTTTAGCAAACCCACAGGTTGTTCTACCCTACCGTACCAGATGCTGGTCTTCTAGTGACCATGTGCTGGGGCTTGCCGAATTGTGAATTCTCCCACCTATGAGCTTTCTCATTTCCTGTGCAGGTCACAGCGTTCTTGCAGAGTACCACTAATAAATTCAGAGGAATGTAAAAGACAGACCCCAAGGTAAGAATGTGATTTAAGTATTTTCCTGGCATTATGAAACTCCCTGATCAGTATGCTATCTATCCAAATTATTTAAATTGGATACAGAGCTCTCGCAGGTTACCTGCACATGGAGGTCACGAGCCTGTGCTAAATTGCCAAGCGCACAAAGCAAATCCTCTGTACAGGAAGGGCCAAAGCGGGGAGTTATTACAGGCTGTACCCTTGGATACTGAAAATATTAAAAAGACATATTAGGGATTCTACCTCTATATATCAGTATACAAGCATTTACACAGCAATTATATTTTGGTCCATCGCTTATTGCTTACTGCATCCTTGCCAACTCACACTGTAAAGTCATTTTTCTTATTTTTATTAGAAATTTCACCATTGAAATAGAGAATCAAAGCTATGAATGACCACATGTTTTTCTGAGTCCCACTTCTGTGAGTATCAAAGATTCAGTGATTTAAAACTGAAGAGCTCTTGCTTGATCTTCTCCAATCATTATAGCAACAAACTGTCCCTACACTTCCTAGACAGGAAGATTAGTGCTAGCAACAGATATGTTATGCAGTAGAGAAGACACCAAGACTAGAGCTACAGATGTTTACCTTATACATTGCACTTACAGATTAAAATTTTCATAAAAAACAGACAAGAGCATTACAAGTCTGCCTTCAGTCACAGGAAATAGTTGTGCATGTGGCACCATTAAAAGATGGTATTATGATAACTTGGTTTGAAGTTTCTTATACCATCTTCCTGATACAAGGAGCTCAGGACTTCTCCAGATTAGCCAATTTAGTCATACGTATGATTTAGAAGTGAAACTCTATGCTCTTGAATATTTTGAGACACAAAAATCAAGAAATTAAGCCATTGAAAAAAGAAAGGCTGATACAAGAGGTATCCCTGATTGTAATACGTATGGAGTGTAAACTCTGTATTTACACCCCAGGAGTGTAAACCTGAATTTCTTTAGAAACACACTGGAAGACATGTGCTGACCCAATATACTAATTTGGTAATGGGTTAGCAACTGTACTGTAAACACACTGATTTCTGCTGGAGAGAACTTCTTTTCACTAGTCTATTTATATACCACAGAGTGAGAGACTGTGGCTTTCACCAAAAAATTTTCCGTTCTAGGAAGCCGAATATATTTTAAAGTAGAAGCACAGAACACTACTGTGCTGTGCTCTCACCACTGAATTTACACTGCTACAAGTCCATTTCTCAACAACATGGCTAGCAGAACATTTTTCAGACTGATGACATCTCTCTACTACAAAACAACATGTATATTTATTGACTTGTCACTAAGTCAGCAGTGTTTGTCAAAGGGATTAACTATTTCATATATTTACATGGAATTTCATGAATACAGAAGTGAATGAAGAAGAACTCTACTTACTTTCTTGTCCAGTAGTTCTTTAACAAACCTGGAAAAAGGCAGAAAAAAATCTGTTAGAAACCTATTACCTGTGCTATAAATTATGACAATATCTACTTAGATACCTTAAGTATTTCAGACATTTTTTACAGAAAGTTGGGCCAGATTCTCAGATGAAATAAAAAGAAGCAATACAGTGAAGTCAGGGTAGTTACACCAAATTATGCTAGTTATGAATTTGACCCTAAATATTCACAATCTTTCGTTTGCAGTAATAAGCATTAGACATGTGGTAATTGCTCTGAGTTGTCACTGAAAACCAAATACATGTTACATTAAATTCATTGAAAACATAATTATAAGCTACAGCTGCAACATTAGAGAAAAAAAAAATTGTCCATGAACCTAAATTATAGCATTAAGCATAATCTATTATTTAAAATCCTATTTTTAAAAGATGCTGCAATATTTTATGCTCACTTATAGCAGTTGCATATGTCCTCATTCACTTACAGGACCCTTGTTTTTCTGGAAATGCTTCTAACAATGTTAGCATATAGATATCTACCTCATAGAAAATACAGTACAGATTTACTTACTTTGTTAAATAAAGGAAGCTTCCTCAGGGACCTCTATGTAAAAACCCCAAGCAATCAATACAGATAATGCAGATGAGCAAATAAAACTTCCTCTGACTTTGCAGGGAAGAATTTTTTTGAAAATCCATATGCACAGTGTATGCAAGTAATTTCCAGAAGCCTGTTTGAGATGGTTTGTGGAAAGGATCTCTGTGAATTCTTATGCCATAGTTATATTTAGAAAAACCTGTAATTTTGTTCACAATAAATGCTGAATCAAATCTGTCAAATATCTTCTCATGAAAAAGAAAATAATGCTGGAGGCTAGATTCACAGCGCTGAAGGTGGTGCTAGATCCAGCTAGAAGTGAGAAACCTAAGCTCAGCCTCCACAATGACTGAAAAAAACTTGAGCCCACCATCTGACTGTCAGAGCCAAAACATAATGTGAATTAGGTATCATCTGTCTGTCTCTCCTCTCATTGACTCACCTGATACAATAATAAAATATGGACTGGAGCAGAAACTGCAACACAAAATACAACTCTCAGATGATAATCCAAAATCTCCTGAAACAGATGGCTGTTTTCATTCTTCTTTACATTCTCTGAAAAGTGTCAGCATTGTTTCAAAACTGAAATACCTTTCTTAAAATACCCTATGCTTTTTTTGGCTTATGTACTTCATGATAAGGAAAGAAGCTCAGATTCGAATCACTGTCTTCTGTAGCAGTAGAACAGATTTGAACATGGGTCATCTTCTTTACAGATGAGTACAACTATTACCAGCATATAATGTATATAGTAGAGTGCAAATTATTAATAGTACATGTTTTAAAATGTATTTAAACATAAACACTGCTAGAAATCCATGACCATTTCTAACTTTTACTTGCATTCTTCTAGCCTGATTTGCAAAAGTAAGGTAACAACTTCACACAAGTGTAGCAAGACCTTTATATTACTGTTATTACCGTTTCAAGTATCATTCTCTTTCAGCATGATACTTGAAACACTTATACAAGTTAAGAAGTAGTCCCATGAGAAATGCTTAATGCCTGCTTAAGCATTTTCTGAGCATGGATGTGAAACATAAGGGTAACCTAAGATGGCAGGCTGCCATTCTCCAGTCTTGGATCCCCTCTGCCATGTATATTGCATTGATTTCACTATCTTTCATTTTCTTAGCTGCAAGTTAGAGTAATTTCACTGATGCTATGCTGTAGAAGATAAGAACCATAGCATGTTTGAAATGGGGTACATGAAAGCTGACTCCTACAATCTGAATAAAGCTTATCCTAAATGGGGGAAGGAAGTAGCTCAGAAGTTAATGGGAGTGAAGGAACTGATTGCCACCCCACCATTGCATAACAGGTCACATCACCTCCACACACAGAGCTGTGAAAGGGAAAAAGAAGGCAGAAAACAAACAGCCACCTACACATATTCTTTGCAAACCACAGAGCTGCAGCTTTTCCCTTTCTGTGGAAGAGCTACAGAGAAACTGCTTGGGCTGCGTGGCAACTGCAGAAATTGCCAGAACTGTAGGAAGCAATGACATCAAAAGGAAAAAAAAACCCTGTTCCTAATAAATTCACACCTGTAAGCTCTTCAGTCAGATTTACATTCACTTTTCAGATGGATAAGAAAAGTCTTATTTCTAAAGGTTACACCATCAATTTAATCAACTCACCTTTCTGTCTCTTGGACAGAGTCTTCAGTAGTCTCTTGGTATTGTGGCACACTGTCATTCATATCCATGCAGACTTTTCCAACAAATGCTCGTTGACCAAATTTATCTGGTGAGATCCATAAAAGAATAAAAACTCAGATTCATTTGTTCTCAAAAACTGCTATCAGAGCCTGTACTGAAATCTAAATAGCAAATGCCACCCCAGCAAGTTTCGTTTTAGATGAACAGAATTTATCTTTTCTTATCTTTAAGTTGGGACCATCCTTGTGACTCTTAAGGCTAAAAAGGAAAGAGAGGAAAAAAAAATTCTTCTTCCACACTAGTACTCAAATTTTTAAATGTTCTAATTGAGGATGAGATTACTGTAGTTTAACCACAACCAGAATTCATAATGGTTGTACATAAAGATGACTGCTTTGAAGTAGAGGATGAGAAACACAAACACTGAAGTACAGTAGCTGTAGTATCACAGTATCACAGTATGTTAGAGATTGGAAGGGACCTCAAAAGATCATCTAGTCCAATCCCCCTGCCGGAGCAGGAACACCTAGATAAGGTTACACAGGAACGTGTCCAGGCGGGTTTTGAATGTCTCCAGAGAAGGAGAATCCACAACCTCCCTGGACAGCCTGTTCCAGTGTTCTGTCACCCTCACTGAGAAGAAGTTTCTTCTCAAGTTTAAGTGGAACCTCTTGTGTTCCAGTTTGTACCCATTACCCCTTGTCCTATCATTTTTTGCCACCGAGAAGAGCCTGGCTCCATCCTCGTGACACTCCCCCTTTATATATTTATACACATGAATAAGGTCACCCGTCAATCTCCTCTTCTCCAAACTATAGAGACCCAACTCCTTCAGTCTTTCCTCATAAGGGAGATGATCCACTCCCTTAATCATCTTAGTTGCCCTGCGCTGGACTCTCTCCAGCAGGTCCCTGTCCTTCTTGAACTGAGGGGCCCAGAACTGGTCACAGTATTCCAGATGAAGTCTCACCAGGGCAGAGTAGAGGGGAAGTAGATTACCCTGAGCTGAGAAAAGGCACAAAGACCTCAGCAAACCATTTCTTCTTAAGAGAAAGGAATGAGGTTCCTAACACGCATCCTACATGCAGTTGGATGGAGAAAATTGCCACCACTATTTCCAGCATCCTTTCTTGAGATTCACCTATTTATCGCATGACCAGGAACTCATGTGTAAGACTTAACAGGAATGCATATAATGTTCAAATCTAAGCTTTTAAATGTACTTGTAAACTAGATCTCTTTTGCCCACTTTTACTGTCTGACTTGTTGAATACAACAGCTTTAAAGTTTCAGGTTTTCATACAAAATCAGAAAGGGAATCTTTGATGGACACTGAAATATTCATTAAATTGCTCTGTTATGGGAGCTGGCTGAGCCTTGAGAAATCCTGCAAGAATCACACCACTTTCAAACAGAAGATATTTGCACTGGTGAACAAAAACGGAGGGGTAAGATCCTGACGCAACTCCCATTGTTATGGTTTCCAAGGGTGTTTGGAAACTTCAGATTATAAACGCACTGCCTGCACCTCTTATCATTCAGTCCTTTAGTCCTCAAATAGCAAAAGGCTAAAAAAAGCAGAAAACTGGAGCTGAAGAGCAACTCCAGCAAACTTAAGCTCTGCCAGCAGCTGATTTGGAAGTGAAGAGACTAGCAGAAACAACAGTAGGAGAGGAGAAGTTAAGTGAATAATATAGCTTCACTAAGGGGAAATCCTGCCTGATTGATTTGGTGGCCTTCTACAATAGGGCTACAGAACTGATGGGCCAAAGCAGTTGATGTCATCTACCTGGACTTTTGCAAAGCATTCGACACTGTCCCACAGGATATTCTTGTTTCTAAAATGAGAGGCATAAATTTGATGGATGGACCACCCAGTGGATAAAGAATTGGCTGGATGGCTGCATGCAAAGAGTTGTGGTCAAAGGTTCAGTGTCCAACTGGAGACCACTGATGAGTGGTCTCCCTCAGGGGTCGGCGTTGGGACAGATTTTGTTACAACATCTTTGTCAGTGACATGGACAGTGGGATTGAGTGCACCCTCAGCGAGTTTGCCGATAACACCAAGCTGTGTGGTTCGGTTGGTACGCTGGAGGGAAGGAATGCCATCCAGAGGGACCTTGACACGCTTGTGAGGTGGGCTGGTGCCAACCTCATGAAGTTTAACCATGCCAAGTGCAAGGTCCTACACCTGTGTCGGAGCAATCCCAGACACAGGTACAGGTTGGGCAGAGAAGAGATTCAGAGCAGCCCTGTGGAGAAGGACTTAGGGGTGCTGGTCGATGAGAAAATGAACATGAGCCAGCTTCAGTGTGCGCTTGCAGCCCAGAAAGCCAACCGTATCCTGGGCTGCATCAAAAGGAGCATGACCAACAGGCTGAAGGAGGTGATCCTGCCCCTCTACTCTGCTCTTGTGAGAGATCACTAGGAGTATTGTGTGCAGTTCTGGTGTCCTTAACATAGAAAGGACATGGAACTGTTGGAACAAGTCCAGAGGAGAGCCACGAGAATGATCAAGGGCCTGGAGTACCTTCCGTATGAAGACAGGCTGAGAAAGTTGGGGCTGTTCAGCCTGGAGAAGAGAAGGCTGCGTGGAGATCTCGTAGCAGCCTTCTAGTATCTTAAGGGGGCCTACAAGGATGCTGGGGAGGGACTCTTCATCAGGAGCTGTAGTGATAGGACAAGGGGTAATGGGTTAAACTGAAGCAGGGGAAGTTTAGATTGGATATAAGGAAGAAGTTCTTTACTGTGAGGGTGGTGAGGCACTGGAATGGGTTGCCCAGGGAAGTTGTGAGTGCTTCATCCCAGGCAGTGTTCAAGGCCAGGTTGAACAGAGTCTTCGGTGACATGGTTTAGTGTGTGCTGTCCCTGCCCATGGACTGGGGGTTGGAACTAGATGATCTTAAGGTCCCTTCCAACCCTGATCATTCAAAGAGTCTATGATGCTATGACAGATAAAATGAACAAAAACAAACAAAAAAATCATTAGTAGAATAAGAGATTGCTAGCAAGTATAAAACTCCTCACCTCTATTTCCTTCAACTAATACAGTCTGAAAAATACCATTCAAAAACTCATTGTTAGCCTTACCAATAATTTCAGCAAGAAGAAGAGAAGTATCTGTATGAATTGTCGCAAAGTAGCAAGCTGTAGTCGTGCCATTCTTTAGAGTTCGTCTCTGTAAAAATAAATCAACTGTTTCAACTGTCTGGAAGAAAAGATAGCCAAGCTGCCAAAATGCAGAACAGGCAGTCTGATTTCAAACTGCAAGAACATTAAGTTATTTTGAAATTGTGTAGTGAACTGAGAAAGTACAATATAGATTTTTAATTTCATAATAGCTTTTTTTAAGTCTGAGTGATCATAAATACAAAACCTCCTCTTCTAAATTTATACAGGACTTCCACAATGGCTAAATCCATAAAAACCATTCTATATTTCCTTCAGTCAAAGTGGAAACAATTTCTGAGTTATATTTAGAAATACAATCAGTCTTTTATGCTTTTTCATGGTTTTGAAAGGCTCTCCAATTTTCACAGTGAAGCACTCTTTACCTAATGCTAGCAAAGCAAGGCTTCTGGGGAAAAAGAAGTGGTTTTCATTTGGTCACCTGATGTAGCTGGCAAAAATATCCATACTTCCATGTATAACACCCATTTGTTATGCCTGAATACAAAGGAATAAACTTCAAGGTAAAAGTAAACTGAGAACAGCTGCTCAGAGTGCAATTCAATTACTGAATTATATCATTTGAAAGGAGAGGCTGGTTGATACCTGCGTATACTACTGCGGGAGCCCGTAAACAGTAAGTGAAGAGCCATATAAAGGTACATTAAGTCATGATGAAATTTATAGCATCACTTGCCTAGACTTGAGACTAATGCATACTCTATTGATTACCCATCCGTCATACAGGTTTAAATAAAGTTTGGATTCTGGCTAAAATGTAATTTGAGAAATCTTTAAAATATTTTTAAATGAGATAGAAGGTGGGACATTCAACACAACTTTTGAGAATGGTAAGAGCTAATTTTTTTACAAAATGAAGGCAAGATCTCTTTTCTTTACAATATTCAAATTAAAGAAAATAGTTAAAAATACATTTTTAAGGGTTTCTAAAATGAGTCTCAAAAATAACAATGTCATTAATGAGGCAAATTACTTTGGTCTTTCTTAGCTTTTAAACCCCAAGATTCTCTACTTCTGGATTCCTAACATCATTGTTAAATTAAGCCTAAAAACATGCTGTTTCCAAATCATCAGCTTGAAGAATTTCCTTACCTAAAAGTAGACCACAGGAGGTTCCAGGTATAATATAGTAAATGTCACCTACTTTGTTTCTTTGACAAAGTGTAAAAAGTCTTTATTGGAAACAGAATTTTTATTTGAAAAATTCACTAGCCTTTCATTACCACTCCAAAAGTACAAAGATACATATGAAACAATATTTGTTCTTTTCAGGTTTAGTCCTATTTCTAACAGTTTTAGACAAATGCAAGGGAAATTATGCTGGCCAAATCATTTAATATGTTGAAGATATTTCAGTCCACATATTAGAGGATACATTTCCTTTAAGCACAGAATCAGTATGCTGCAGAATCAGTATATCTGCTTATTGTTCATCAAGTGGAATTTGACCTTAAAGCCTTTATACTGCTCAAAACCAGCTAGTTCAAACACACTCTCTCTCTTTGTGCCACAATACCATTGACAGACTTCATCTAAAGCCTCTGCAGTGACAATCCTGCTACAAGGACCTCAAATGTAGAAATATCTTCCTTAATTACTTCAAAGCACCCCAGATTTGTTGTCTGTGAGAAGCATCTTCTCTTTCATGTGGCCTTTGCAGAAAAGGAAATATCCTCCAATTTTTTATGCAGGTTTTTTTTTATATGCTTTGTTATTTCTACACCTGCTGGCTATACTCATAGAGTATTCTTAAATGTTGGTCATTGCACTCAGATATCAGAAAAGATGATATATAAATTTGTTGTTAACCATGGGATTAAATGAACTGTTTCACCAGCAACAACAGAGTAAGACTGGAACTAGTAGGAAACAATCTTGAATGGCATTAGAACAGTGGCTGTACTGTTGGTTTTATCTAGTTTTCATGACATTAAAACATACTCTACTATTTCTAGTGACCTTCTGAAAACTTACATGTATTTCACAAATATGAATATCATCAAGTCAGTAAATGATATTTGCAGTACTTACAACAACTCTGGTGTACACTTCTTCTGCAAAGTCACTGTCTTTGTATTTGGCTTCTGTTGGGAACGTGTAGGTCGTCAACCACTGCAAAAGAGGTAGATCTACTCTTGTACCAGCAAATGAATACTGAGGAGCATGAATGTGTGTATCAACCATTCCTGGCATGAAGAATTCACTAGGGAAAGAAAACAGTAATAGTCAAAAATGTTAATAAATTTTCCAGAGAAAGTAGTTTTGCTTTAAACAGTGTTTGAGGAAAATCCACCAGAGTAAATGGTAAGTACAGATCAGCCTTTGACTTTCAGCATCAGCCTATCAATCACTACTGCACCTCTATCCATACTTCTTTTACAGTATAAAGCAGTTGAAGAATAACTTTTATACAGACCTATATATAGCTAACAGGGAAAACAATGTAAGAGCATGATGAATCCAATTATCTTTAATAACACTAAATACCAACAAATAAAACCAAACTGACTTCATAATAACTAAAATGATTCAAGCTTAGAACACACCTGATAGAGGATTTGGACACAGTCTTGCTTTCTAGTATGGCTATATTTGGAATACCTTTAGCTGCAAGAACATTATATTTACAAAATGGTAACTTTCTATATCTCAGTTTTCCTCCAAATATGTCTCTCTCTGTATATTCAATCTAGGAATTTCAAGGTTTAATGGAAGAACAGCACCATGTCTACAAATGCAGACACAGACACCCGTGGAAAAGTTCTCTACTGAATACCTGGACAGGAAAGGCATCTTTACAATGGAACTTTAATACTGTTTGTTGTCATGTAGTGTTCATGCAATAACAGGGATGAATATATCAACATTTGATGGAACTTCATACAGTATAAAATTTTTCACGTTCTTCTGCCCTTCTCCCTGGTTACTGAATGGTGATTTAGTCTCTTTGTACTTTCCCTTCTTCCTGTTTTCCTGCATGCTAGAAATGCTGAAAGACGTTTCACAACCTGATCCATATTCCCAGCATTGTTCATTTTCCTCAGGCGATTTCAAGTAAGAAAACATCTGATGACTCACATATACTGTATGATTGGCCTTCCAACAAAGCATATAGGTTTTTTAACAACTGAACACTAAAACAGTGCTGCAGTTCTAAACTCTAAGCCACAAGTGGTTTACACTTGTATAGTTTACAGCTGCTACATGCAAAGCATTGCAGGTACAATCCAAGACTATTTCACTTCGCCAGAAAGGTGGGGGATTACACTGGCTGAGGAAAAACGAAACACTCAAGCTGCAATACAGTTTGAAATCCAAGTGTCTGTGTTCAGAAAGTTTAAATATTCTAATTTTATTAGAATTTATAAGCAACTGTGTCAAAGCCCAAGCAAGTGTCTTACATCTGTAGTGTCAGTGGCACCTATATTTGCCAAGTCTAGAGTTTTGAGCTAGTCAGGCACAGCACGTTGCTAACAAAATGGGTATAAAATGTAATTTCAAGAAAGAACATCATTTACTTGTGTAAGCACAGAAGAGGTTGTGTATGACAGCTACATATGGCATTTTGTCCCATGCAGTATAAATCAACCAGTACTATTCAGCCATGGCTGTAGTCACAAACCAAGGAACACAAACAACCCACGGACCATCCACCCTCCAAGTCCCATCCAGGATGGAGGCAGCTGTTGGGTTAAGAGTTCTTACAGAGCTGAAAGGGAGTTTTGCCCATGAGATAGGACATAATGTGCTCCCTGCCAAAATGTATTCTCAGAGACTTGCATTACTTCACTCAGAATAAACTCCATTAGCTGAAATTACTCCAAACAAAATACATACTGGTTACTCAGCTCTCTTATGTCAGACGTTTTGAACCCCCACTTCCTAACCAGTTGCTCTTGCTGATCAGTTTGCTCCAAAAACACGATCTAGAAGAAAGAAAACATGGTTAGATACTTTAAACTTGTATCCCTCATCAGCTTTACACAAAGGCAAAATGGATCACATCTTAAACGAGATTATGCACACTCACAAAGGTTATAGTTTTGCACTGAAATACTTGTTCTGTCTAACTATCAAGTATGATTTTTGAAATGCTTACTCACAATACAGTGAATAATTGCACCCACTTCATAACTTGTAAGGAAACAATTCATTCATTTTCAAGTGACGAGACTGAAGCAATAATTCCCGAGTAAGGACTTCAGTGTCCACTGGTGTCCCTGTAACATGGCACTATGCTAGCAGTGTGGTTGGTTGTTATAGAGGTGTGTGGCAGCCTTACCAGAATGCAATTACAGCATTCAGCACCAGAAGGGTCAAATTAATTGTTTTGCCTAGGACTGACTAGCACTGAGCTAAGTATTTTCTAATTTTCTGCTCATGTCATTAATGTTGGGGTTTTGTTTGCTTGGGTTTGCTTTTTGTTTTGGGTGGTTTTTTTAATTTTATTTCTGAAGTGCCTGGGAAGAGAAAAGTGAGGGGGAAAAAGTGAGTGTTCATTTTCCAGAATAGATTTCAAGCATGCCCGAGATCTTCATTTATTTCAAAAAAAACTACAATCTGGAGCCTAACCCAGCCCCATTTGACTCTTGGAGGACACGGATGCTACTGCTGCTGAGTTTGTGTTGCCAAGTCAGGGTTTTAGCACACTTTATTTTTAAATTGCATGGTATTTTAATCTGCAACATGATGCTTGGCACCTGAATCCTCAACTGTTTAATTCTCTGGCCTGGCAATAAGAGGCACAACTCTCCAAGAAAGACTGGGGAGTCTAGGAACTGCAATGTCCACCACAGGCTCCAAGTGGGATCTGGACTCCCACAACACTTCACAGAGCAGACAGAGGAACCTGCCACCTGCCCCTGGGAAAGACTGTCTATCCTGGGCTTTCAGGAATTCTTGCCTAACCATAGTTTCTGCCAGAAAACAACTCATGGACTTCTAACTCCCTTTTACAAAGCTCTTTCTTCTAAGTTCAAGGCAGTACTCTTGCTGCTACAGGTATCCTTCTGCTCCTGAGAAGATTCCCACACTGAGGGCCTCTATCACCTTTATGACATCAGTTATTTTATGAGGCAGCAATTAAAAAATCATGTAAAGGCAAGACCAAATAGTTGTAAAAAGGTAGTAGGAAGGAACTTAAGAGAAAGATCAAGAGGACCAGAAGAGCACTGTTTATCTGTTACTTGCATGCCCTTTTTATGCGTATGACATAACCTTTTGCATTTTCTACCTTTTTCTATAGAGAAAAATAAGCAAAGGCAGCTAAGCTGTATATAAGAAGGTTTTGGCTGCTTATCTTGCAAATGCACATATGGCTTATATGATTTACATTGTCTAAAGAGTAGATGTTTAAAATTGTTAGTCATAGAATCATAGAATAGTTAGGGTTGGAAAGGACCTTAAGATCATCAAGTTCCAACCCCCCTGCCATGGGCAGGGACACCTCGCTTTAAACCATATCACCCAAGGCCTCATCCAACCTGTCCTTGAACACTGCCAGGAATGGAGCATTCAAAACCTCCTTGGGCAACCCATTCCAGTGCCTCACCACCCCCACAGGAAAGAATTTCGTCCTTATATCCAATCTAAACTACCCCTGTTTAAGTTTTAACCCATTACCCCTTGTCCTATCACTACAGTCCCTAATAAAGAGTCCATCCCCAGCATCCCTATATGCCCCCTTCAGATACTGGAAGGCTGCTATGAGGTCTCCATGCAGCCTTCTCTTCTCCAGGCTGACCAGTCCCAACTTTCTCAGCCAATCTTCATATGGGAGGTGCTCCAGTCCCCTGATCATCCTTGTGGCCCTCCTCTGGACTCGTTCCAACAGATCCATGTCCTTTTTATGTTGAGGACACCAGTCACCAAAAAAAATTAAAATTATACCTTATAAATAAATACCATACTAGCAAAAATTGCAAGAATATTGTATTCCATTAATACTTCTCATAAAGCAGCATCTCTCCTTTTAAAGAGGAATATATCCAGCTTAATTAGCTATATATATACGAAAAGGGCTTAGACTACAGACCTACAGAAATTTCTGATGAGCAATAAAGAAAATGTCACTCTGTTGCTGAAGTCAAAATGGATGCAGAATGAGTATTGTTAGAGCTGCAGGAAAAAAAATGAATTAAAAAAAAAAGGAAAAAAAAGTGGGGAAAAAAAAAAGGAGAGAGAGAGAGAAACATGAAACACCAGATGGCAAATTCTGGAAACAAGTGTTGCCATGGAAAAGAAGTGGCTATTATATGCTCTTACGGTGCAGATAAATAAAACACTGAAATCATGGAATTATGAAGAAAATGTGTTTCAAGGGAGATGAACATAGGGAATCAACCTTAAACTTGACACCTGGTCCATTACTGTCAAGTGCAGCAACGGATGAATCAGCAAGACATCTATACTCATTGCAAACACACTTCCCAACAGTACTCATTGGTTACCTAAGAGATGCTCCCCATTGCTTTAGCATGTTTTTATTATGGCCACCTTTCCAACACTGAATGCTTTAAGGGCTTTAAGATTGGACATGCACGAGTATTTGCTTGCACATTCAAGGTAACCAATGTGGTTCATTGGCCCTTTAAATTAGTTCTGGGCCTTAACACTGTTAAAGCGAGAAAAAACATCTATGGCAGAGTCACTGGAGTCACGAGAAGTGCACAGGCAAGACTTCAGCTTGTAAAGAAGAAAGTAAAGGAGAACAACCAGTGCTTTGGCAAAGTTGTATCATATAAGCAGTATCAATAACTGCTAACATTAGTGCACAAATAGTTCATTCAGTTCTGTTGTGCTACCTGTGTGATGGTGCTAAAGGATCGAAAGATAAGGGGCAGAGACCTCCCTACCCTGGTGCCTAGCTCAGGCCTCTTTTATTCCCAGACATAGAATCATAGAATCAACTAGGCTGGAAAAGACCTTTAAGATCAAGTCCAATGGTTACCCCAGGACTGCCAAGCCCACCACTAAACTGTGTCACTAAGGGCATCTACATGGTATCTGAACGCTTCCAGAGACGGTGACTCCATGTTCAGCCATCCATCAGCATCCCCAGGTCTTTTTCCTTTGAGCAGCTTTCCAGCCACTCTTCCCCAGGCCTGTAGAGTTGCATGCGGTTGTTCTGACCTATGAGCAGGACCCAGTACTTTGCCTTGTTGAACCTCATACAATTGGCCACAGCCCATCAATCCAGCCTGTCCAGATCCCTCTGCAGAACCTTCCTATCCTCCAGCAGATCAACACTTCCAGTCAACTTGGTGTCATCTGCAAATTTACCAGCCAAAGCTCCTCCATCAACACATGGCTGGTCCACTCAACTACACATCAGACCTGATGCAATAAAGTCTGAATGCCTCCAAGCACCACAGTGCAAATAACAGAAGAATGGAAAATGAATGTTACTGGAGAAACACAGAGGTTTTGTTGGTTTTTTTTTTTTGTTTGTTTTTTTTTTTTTTTTTTTTATCCAGCAGTGCTTGTGTTAACTTTCTTTCTGGCTCTGACATTCATAAATGAACATATATGCAAGGAGTCCATCCTTGTTTCCCCTCCCACATGCTTCTCTTCCCTCCTTGTTCCCACAGTGATTAGTTGACTTTTGCAATTAGACACGATGCCTATTGATTGCCTAATTCCCAAAACTGGAATGTGATGCTAGCTGAGAGGCAGGACCCAGCTCCTGAATGAAGCCCGACCTCCTGAGAAAGGCTAAGCAACAAACTCCAGATGGATGTTGGTGTCTTGGTACCTTTGTTCTTATACAGCTAACACACATCACATGTTATCCCAGCTGGCTTAAATTAAACATTTATGTTTGGCAGTACTTAACAGTATTAACTCTTATGCCACAACATTTGCTCTCTTCACAACACTTCTCCCCTCTTCAACAGGAGATTTTAGCTTAACACTCGTTCTATTTACTTAATATTCTATTCAGGTAATTACACCACTATCTCAGTGACAACTCACATGTTGCACTTGTGTCTGTTTCTTTTACTCTGGAGGAACAGTCACCTTTCTATTTGCATTCCTCAAGAGCGGCACCACACTGCTCCCCAAACTGCTCATTTGGACACAGTCCTGATTGTGCCAATTTAGCAACAACTTGGGTCTTCATACCTGAAAGCAGCATTTTCCTTGCTAAAGCTCCCTTTAAACCTACAGGCAAAACACAGAGAGCTGACATTTCACTTATGGCCTTTATTAGCTGAGCGTCTCCACTTGCACTGGTGATCTGAGCAATGTTTCTGTGGCGCTGGATGTATGTGCCTGCCCCTTGAAGGACATGCTCATACTGGAGAACAAGACCTGGCTGCTCACAAATGATGATCTGCTAACCCTCTCAGAGACAGTGCGATATTTTTCTATGATGGAGTCAGCGACATGAATCAGAAGAATGATACCTATTTAGTTAAGGTTACTTCTCTGGGAGTAGTACTGAAATAGTTCTGGCTGAAAATTTGGACAATAAAGGTAAGCGATTTTCTAACCACCATGTCCTCCTTGAAGAGCCAGTTCTTCAGTGATTCCAGTGGAAGTTCTGCATGAGGTTAAATTACAAGTACTAGAATAAAAGGTGCCAAACCTCACTATTGTCAGGTCCTGGAATAGTAAAATGCCAAGAATTTGTATTATAAAGAGAAGAAAATGGAAGTCCTTGTGACTGTATTCTGTTGGGAATTTAAGTTTGGACAAAGGTGTTCTGAAAAACACTTCTTTAAAAAAACATATCTGCATGGGAATATTCCAATTTATGCCAGGAAAACAACATCCTTATCCACTAGAACCGGGAAAAGAGTGACAGATTGCACAAATCCTTAGATATAGCTTACTAAGGTACCTGCTTTTCAAGAAAAATCACTTAAAAGTCTTGATTTCCTATGGATGCTGAGTAGAAACCCTTTTCTGGAAATTGTCATTACAGACAGCAACAGAGGTATGAGTCTCTGCCCCCTGCACCCACATTACATAAACCAAACCCCTTTTTCATTCATAGCTCTATTGGTTTAGTTGGCAGCAGCCAATACTGAATTATGTAAGCTTTCATTCCCCTCCCATACATGAAAATACAGCTTCTCTGAGACTTTGCTATGCCTTGTGCCACACTCCTCAAGAGCTGTAAGATGGCTGTCTTTAAGCAGGCCCTCATGGACCTGTATGAACAGAGGAAAAAAATTACTGTAAGGGCTGAAAGTGTGCTTTGCTCAGCTTTCAAATGGTACTGACACAATGAAGCCTGTTATTTAGCCATAAGAAAGAAAATTACCTCTTTTCATTATCTATATGAGGTACCTATATACGTTATTTATATTAAAAAAAAAAACCAACAAAAAAACAAACAACCAAACCCGGCCTGTGCCACTAACATGCCCCACGTCATCACCTTCCTAACTCCTTGTAGGTATATGTCATGCTTTATCCTGTGACAACAGAAAAACCTCAACAAATATAAAGCCTTAGTCAGTCGACTGGGCACGAGTAAAGGGGGATACACTGTAATTACGCACAGTCATTATTTTGATACTCAGAGAATGAAAAACATTCTTGTGAAACTGAAAGAAAACCGGGAGAATGTGAAAGCAAGCCCTGAGCAGGCTCGCTGCTGTTTTGCAAATATTTAGCACACTTCAAAACCAAATTTAAGCTACCTGCAGACTCCTCCAAGGAGATAACGAGCCATCCCAGTTATCTCCAGCTCCTACGAACAAGAAATCACTTCTCCGCAGCTGTTCTGCCGCCGGACACCGAGTACTTGGGAGTGCGTAATTTTGCCACTTTCTCCCTAGAGCGCGGCGGAGGCGGCCCTACCCCTCCGGTCCGCCGATCTGTCTGCCCCGGTCCGCTGATTGGGACCATTAAAGGGTCGTTTTCACCCCAACCCAGGGGGCCGCCGGGGAGGAGCGGGCACCTGAGCACTCTGACCCCGGTGGAGCGGAGCGGGACGGCGGCTGGGGAACCCCCGCTCTCCCCCCGGAACGCGCCTTCTCTCGCCCCTGCTCTCACCGTCCCGCTCTCGTCCACCCCCAGCAGGTGTCCGTGGAGGACCTCCATGGGCGCCGAGGCGTTGGAGTGCACGAAGGTGCCCCTGAAGACGTGTGCGAGCGGCGGCCGCTGCGGGGGGTCCATGGCTGCGGCGGCCGCGAGCAGGCTAGCGGCACCCGGCGGGGCTCTCTGCGCTGCGCCGCGGCGGAGGCGGTGGGGAGCTGCCAGCCACCGGGCTGCCGCCCCTCCGTGTCTCCCGCTGCCGGCGGCAGTTTCCTGGAGCTGTCACCATTTCCCCACCCCCTGGTGACTTTCTCTTCGGGGACTGGTTTCAGCGGAGGGAGGGCGGGCGTCCGGGTAGCCCCTCTCCCTTTGCCCCGCTGCGGCCGGGCGGGAGGTGCCCGCGGACGGCCGGGGCGCGGCCGAGAAAAACGCTGGGTGCCCCCCACCCCAAACCAACCCCCACTACCCGACCCGCCACAGGGATGGGTGCCCCGCTGCTTACAACAGGAACAATGCCTGGTGCGGTTGGGAGTGCCGGTGACTTCCAGGGAAGCGTTGAGACATGTAACTCGGTGTTTCGTAACACATTGTACCTGCTTGGCACCCAGCTTCTGCAATCGAGCTGAAGGCTGCAGCCACTTTCCAGAGTTTCATGTACAAAAAGTTGACTTTGTGAGCCTGCTGTGCTGCAGGCTGCCAGCAGTAGGTAACCTGTCTTTCTGTGCCTGGAGCACTAGGAAATTTATCGGACGTTTTCAGAAGAATAGACCTAATTTTAATATACTATAAGCATGTGTTTTGGGGTGGCAGTTACTGCTTTGTTTCACCTGTTCTGTCATACTCCATGATCCAAGATTAATCTCTCAGACTGACTCAGTCCTCAGCCCCTGTACTGCACTTTGGTACGGTATGGGAGTAGACAATAGATGCCAGCTGAGGTACCAGAATGTGGGCAGTCAAATGCCTTATTCAGTGGAGGAGATGGTCTACAAAAAAAGAGAAAACAGCCTCAGCAAAAGAAACGGCAAGAGAAAAGAGTTTTGTTAATCCAGAGAATCTAGAACCATATTCTGCTCCAACAACCTGTCAAGAACACATGAGAAGAGGTCTGCCTCTGGGAATACTGAAATAAGACTTCATCAGACCTGAATTACTTACACCAAGGGTAATATCTGAATTCCCCTTTGAAGACACCTTTTTTGTCAGGTTGTGAAATGATGAATGAACTTGGCACCCAGGGCACTAGCACCATCATTCTCAAAACTCAATTGAAAAGTTTGTCATTACATAGTTTATCATTAAAAGACCTTTGCACTTCCCACTGTGCTGACACCATACAAATGCATAGCAGATTATCTTTGCTACAAGTTCTCCAGGTCAGTTGTGGGGTGAAAGAAAGATAGTGGAAAAGCACAGAAGGAATTTGATTTTGGTCTGCTGTGGGCAAGTCAACAGCCTACGTCTTGACTTCTTTTTTTTAGGTTCTGTGAAGGAAGTTTAATAAACAGGGGACTTACTGATGCCAACTGAATGATCTTACTTGGACTCTGCTATCACCTTAGTCAGGCCATAAAGTGTCAAAAATAAAATGGACATGTTAGAGTGACCTTACTTGCTGATATTGGTAATTTCTTGTGAGAGGTTTAAAAAGACTCCCAGTGAGATAAAATGGATCTTTTTTTAAGGCACATGGTGTTTTTTAATTGTATTTCTAATGCCTTTGACATGAGAAGTTAGGAAGCAAAGCATGAATTAATCTTACAGGTTTGGAGAAGAAACTGGCATGAAAATTTTTAATGCAATTCAGTTTGCTTACAACACTGTAATGCTTCCTGCTTCCTTGAATAAGCAGAATAATACTTTTTTTTAAGGAAATAGTACCAAAAGTCTTTTAAATTAGCACTTGCAAAAGCCCTCTTAGAAAAGTGTTTCTCAGGGTGATATTTATGCGTTTTTTAAGGCTGCAGCTGAAATGATCTATAATCCAAGCTGCCATGCCAGATGAGGGAAAAAAAAAGGAGTGAGAGATAAGCTGTTTTTTGCCACTGAAAACATAGAAGGAATAGAGCTGAGAAATGGGGTGAACAGACACAAAGCCTTGAAAAGGTAAGTTCACTTGCTGTTCTGTGAACAGAGGAGTGAAAATGACTTTCTTCAGCAAGAGCTACTGCTAATGCAACTTTTCTTCTGCCCCTGTGGGCAGCAGCTAGCCAAATTTTCAAAGGTAGCTGGGTCCCACTGTATACTGTCCTCTCCAGTATGATGCCCTAGGTAGTTGCACGCTCCACTTAATGAAATCAGGCTACATATGTCTTATGGCTTCAAATCCTGTGCTCTTGCCACACAGACACATGTACACTGCTGTCCAAAGTAATGTTCAGCAGAGCTCACTCCTGTTCTTGAGAAACCATTTGGCTGCATTTGGTGGGGATATAGGCTGCTCCTGAGAATCTGAGACAGTTCCAACCCTATTTTTCCACTAAAAATCTGAGGGATTTCTTCCACTTACCTCACATAAAAGGTGGCACTTCAGTGATTTCAGTGAAATTTAATCCAGCCTGTATTTATGCATGGGAAGAAAAGAAAAACCACTGAGTTTCTTCCTTTCGCATTTTTAGTGAGAAATGTCAATAACAAACACTGTTAATGATAAATGTATTACCATAAATGGGTTCCAAACACTAAAGCCTTGTAATTTCGCTATTAAAAGAAGTAGAGGCTTCTTTTACTTTTTCCAGCTGTCACGAGGGAGAGCATGAAGCCCCTGAAGAGGGCTGGTGGACAAATGCTTAACATCCTTCCCTCTTCCCAGACTTTTTTTGGTTGTTAGTTTATGACAGCTACACATGCATGCCCTTAGATTGGCTCAAGATGACCCAATCTAGACATGGCTTAAGATGAGACCTTGGCCAGCTCTGAAAAACTGAGTCATTCTTCACTGTTATAAGAGGATTACACTGATGCATGTTTAGTTTTGCTGGGATATGTTGGGTTAGGCACTTTACCTCCTTGGATAGAAGGGTAATGCTCTGTTGTGACTGCTACATACTAATTAAAAAGTGAATGAAGTCACTTGCTCTTTTTTTTTTTTTCTTTTTTTTGCAAAGCATTTGAGAGTTCAGAGAAAGAGGTTTAGCTTCTTAACAGATTACACAATGTTTTGTTTCAATAGCATTTACACATTAATCTTAGCTTTAAAAACTTCTTGAAATCACAGTTATGTTTAAGTACATAATCACCATACTTTAATCTCCTGCTGCTAAAAAAGAGTTAGTCTCAGCAGTCAGTAGCTTTTCAGTCTCTTTTTGCCTTCTAAGTCATTGTCATCAAGCCAATTGTAGAAATGAGTCTTTAGGTTGAGTCCTGAAGCCTAACAACTGAAGAATCAGTCAATGTACTTCTGCGATCACAGGGACAGATTTTAGCATCATTCATTCTCATTAACACTTTCACTTCCTGATGTTCTTTTTCACTTCGTACTCTATACAGAGCACAAATTCAACAGCTTGTTTCAATGTTTCAGAGCACCAAAGCCAATACTGCAACTTCTGAGAAATATAAGAGATAGAAACTTGTTTCTCTCCCCACTTCCAAAAAATAGTTGATGGGTTACATGCCACCAAATAGAAGCTCCCATTATCAGGAGCCTGCTGGGGTAAGTGCCTGGGGAGCCTGAGTGTAAGGGTATAATAATTATTCTTCTGATTTAGAAGTGAATGTTCTTATTGCATTTTATCATCAACATGTACCTTGTCTGTAATTTGTAACATAGCAACTAAGTCAGTGGAAAGAAAATATATAATTGATTTATCTGCTCTTGAGTGATGTTTGTCTGTAAAAGAAATAGCTGATTATGCAGAAAATACTTAGCTTTACACAGAAAAAGAAACTGAAGCACCATAAATATATACTCTCAAGTATGAAATTAAGTTGGGAGCTAGGGTTGATCCATTACACTCAAAAACAGTAAGAAACAATGACCATAAAAACAAGCTCCATTTCATTTACTAACATGGACATTCAATCTTGTCCTGGGTTCAGCAATAGCAGTCATTTTTTGTCCTTCTCAGTAGCTGTGCTGTGTTTTTAACTTTAGTCTCGGAACAATGCTGATAACACTGATGTTTTTAGTTTCTGCTAAGTAATATTTACTCCAGTCAAGGACTTTTCAGTCTCATGCTCTGCTAGTGAGGAATGGCACAAGAAGCCCTGAAGAAGCAGAGACAGGACACCTGACCCAACGTAGCCAAAGAGGTATTCTATACCACAGCACATCATGCCCACTATAAAAACTGGGGGCAGTTACTCAGAAGGGCTAGATCACTGCTCAGGTCAGGCTGGGTATCGGTCGGTGGGTGATGAGTGGTTGTACTCTCTTCCCTTGTTATTTCCCTTATCATTGTTATTATTGGTGGTAGCAGCAGTGGTTTGTGTTATACCTCAGTTACTGGACTATTCTTATCTCAACCCATGGGAGTCACATTCTTTCCATTCTCCTCACCATCCCTCCAGGAATGGGGGGAAGGAGAAGAACGGGCAGAGTGAACAAGTGGCTGCATGGTTCTGAGTTACCAGTTGGGCTTAAACCACGACAGTTCTTTTTGGCACTCAACGTGGGGCAATAATAATATTATCCACCAATCATAATAATATTATCCACCAATCATAATAATATTATCCACCAATCATAATAATGGTAAGGGAAATAACAAGGGAAGAGAATAGAACTGCTCACCACACGCTGACTGATACCTAGCCTGACCAAGCAGCGATCTAGCCCTTCCAAGTAACTGCCCCCAGTTTATATAGTGGGCATGACGTTCTGTGCCTTGGAATACCTTGTTGGTTAGTTTGAGTCAGGTGTCCTGTCTCTGCTTCCTCTCAGATTCCCCTCCTCCCTGAGAGAGCATGAGACTCAGAAAGTCCTTGGTCAGAGTAAACATGACTTAGCAGAAACTAAAGTCATCGTGTTATCAGCGCTGTTCCCAGGCTGAAAGCCAAAAGCACAGCACTGCACCAGCTACTGAGAAGGAGAAAAATGACTGCTACTGCTGAACCCAGGACAGAGAATGAAAAAAAAATCAAACACTTGCCGAGTTCCAATGGCAATAGTGATGTGTGTAAATTGAGTTAACTTGTTTATACACAGCTACGTAGTTTCATGGATTACCAGCTCCAAAACTGAAAAGGAATTTATTTCTATGACTTGTTGACAGAAGGTTTCTTATTTCCATTCAGAACAGTGTTTTTAAGGTGTCTAAAAGCAGCAGTGTCTTATTTGAGCTGCACAACATTTCCAACTTCCCAATCGTTCCTTTTAGAGAAGAAGAGGGAGAGGAAAGGGAGGGAGGGAAGGAGGGGAGA